GGGCTCCCTGCCCCTCCGTGGCCCCTGCCCTCCGCTCCCCGTCGCTTCGCGCCTGAAAGTTGCTGCCGGAGGCACCTTGCGTCCCAGCGTCCCCAAATCTTCCAGCTGGCCCCGCGGCTCCCCCAGCCCAGCGGGGGCGGGCAGGCGCGGTGACGAGGCGCTTTCTGCGAGGAAGGGGAGGGGGAGTGAGCAGACCCAGGCGTCCCGGGGCGAGGTCGGTTCGGCCCGGGGGCGGGAGCGCCCCGCTGGGACCTGGGCGCGGTTCTGGCCGCCGCAGCGCTCCCGCCCAGTCCTGTGGCTTTGGCAAAGCAGCTGGCGGAGGCATTAAGGCCCATTAGCGGGGCGAGGCTGCTGGGAGCAGAGGGGAGGTGGCGTGGGGGGCGGGGAGGCCTTCTCAGCTGCCACAGGCTTTTGAGCAGGTGGTCTGCACGTGCGGGGGTTGGGGGCGCCGAGAGGGAAAGGGGAGAAGGAGGTTCCCGGCAACAGATGGCCCAGGCTGGGCTGGGGCTCCCAGACAAGAGAGTGGGAGGGGGCTGGCCATCTGCACCTGGAGGCCGCCGCGGAGCGCTCCCCTCCTCCCCTTCGACGCAGAATAAAGAGCTGGGGAAAGGGGAGGTCCGCTTTTATTCCGACTGAAGGTTCAAACACCCCCAACCCCTCCCCAGCACCGAGAGAGGATGGAACCCAGGGAGAAGGCAGCTGGTGGCGCGAAAGAGGCAAAGGTGAGGGCTGCCTCCCCAGCCACCGCCCCTTTCCTTTCATAGCCAGATTAGGGGAGACCCGAGCAGAAGTGAGGGGTTCCCCTCTAGACGCACCGGGACCTTCGGCTGTCTGCACTGTTGGCGGTACTAGGTGCATGGTTCCCGATGCCACTTTGGAGTGGGGAGGGACGATGCCACTTTGGAGTGGGGAGGGCAGGTCCCGGGGGCCTGGGGGGGAGTGCCCCCGCCCCAACTGGGGAAGAAAGGGGGCTGGGCAAGACTGGGAGGCCCATGGGTGTCCCCAGCCTTGGAACAGGGTGGGAAGGGTCATCCTAGCAAGGGATGGTGCGCCGCCGTGGGGCTAGAATCCCCATGGAGGCTGGCGGAGGATCTGACGGGACCCGTTCTGATCTGGAGGCTCGGGCAGTGGCTACGCCTGGCGGCTGGCCCAGTAGCGGTGGTAAGTGTCCTGGAAGAGGTCCCGGCAGGCGATGCGGGCTTGGAGGCGGGCACAGGCCAGGAAAGCCCCTGCCAGCTTGCGGTGCAGAGCATAGATCTCCTCTGGAGGCGGGCAGAGCCGGTGCTGCAGCAGCACCGGGATGAGGCCCTGCACTCGGCGGGCCGTGTCACCTGCCCTGAAGTCATAGGGGCCCTGGGAGGCAAAGGGCTCCCCCAGGATCATCACAGCCTCCACGTGGGCATCAGAGAAGGCCTAGGGGTGGGGAGAGCAGAAAGGTGTGTGGAAGCACAGCGGCATTCAGAAAGGACCAGCGGCATTCAGCTCAGCTCCCGGGGTCTCAAGGATAACCACAGCCTCTAGGCCTTCCGAAGCTTCCCTAAGAGACACAAGCCCACCCCCATTCTCCCCCAAACAAAGGGCCCTTTGATTCCTCCCAGAATACTCCCCCCAACAGCCTCCTCTCCCTAGAGCAGGTAAGTAGCCCCAGCCCCAGCCCCCCAAGCTCTCCCTCTGGAATAGATAAGTGATGCCCATTTTTCCAGGTCTCCTAAGTGGCCAGGCAGCCCCTGTCCCCCCCCTCCTCCTCCGCAGAGCTCCCCACCCCTCCCCAGTAGATGCCAGTCCCCTGCTCCCCCAGTGTTTCCCAACCTTGGTTTCAAAGCCTGTGAGGAATTTGAGGTCCCTGGATTTCTGCAGGACCCGGTCACGGTCTCCATTGGCTGCAGCCATGACCACCTGGGGAGATGGTGGGGGGAGCAAAGGGTCAGAGGCCAAGTGGGGTTCAAGGAGTATGGGGAGCACCTGTGACAAGCTGCCACCCACCTGATTCTCACTACTGAGCCCTCTCACCTAGAGACTGTCTTGCTTCGGTGCCTGTCTCGAGCCTATTCTGGAGCCTGGGGGTTAGGGGGGCCCGGGGTTCTGCCCACCTTGTTGGGAAAGCACAGCCTGTGGACATGGCCAGCGGCCAAGAGCACAGAGGAAAGCAGGTGGCACGTGCTACCCATGTCCAGACACCCCCTGGACAAGGAGCTGCCCGCAAGATGGCCGCTGGGCCCTCTGGCCGTGTCCACCTCCCACTCTGGACTTGGGTCCTGGGAGAGCTGGGATCCCTGTCGGGTTGAAGCCCTGGGTGTAAATCTTTGTTTAGCAAATGAGCCGCAGAGCTAAGGACCTCTGGGCTGAGTTGCGGGGGAGGGCAAGAGGTGTGGGCACACAGACGAGGGGGGCTGGCCCGAGGGCTCCACCCAGCTCTGGCCCTTGCAGGCAGACGCCCGGCAGCGACTTTGCCTCTCTGGCCTCCACTTTCTCATCTGGGAAAGGGGTGATAAACCTGTCTCCCTCGCGAGGACAAAGGTGGCTGGCTGGCTGCAGGAGAAAGCCCGTCCACATCACGAGCTACTGTTGACTGTCAGGGGCGCAGACCAGGGGTGCAGATCAGGGCTCCTGCTTCCCAGAGGAGGAAGCAGACTCAGCTTGGACGCAGCCAGGAGGGCGGAGGAAGCTGGTTCAAATCCCCAGCCACCCAGCCGCCCTTCTGGCGAGGACGGGGAATGCAGTCAATCTGGCAGTTGTGTTCTGTCTCACCTCCCCCTGCCTGCGCCTGTCCAGCCATCTGTTAGGCCGCGGTCCTGGGGGTGCTGAGTGACAGGGCTTCATTACACTGGAAAAGTCTATGGAGGGGCAGGGGGCCATGCTAAATAGGCTGGGGCGTGCGGGGCGCGACGTCCCACTACCCAGGAGGCTTTCCCCCATAAGGGGTCTGTGTAGGGGGTCGGGGTCATTACCAGCTCCCCCTTCCGGCCTCCATCTTAGGAGTGGCCCTATTACCCCCCACCCCCCAAATCAGAACCCTGACAGCCCTCTTCCCTTCCCCACAGCTCTGGGAGTCCCAGCCGCCAGTCTGACAGGCCCCCAGCTTACAGACCACTCCTCATTCAGAGCCAACCAGTGCTGACTGTGCTCCTCCCCTGCCCAGCTCCCCCCATGGCTCCCCAGGGCACCCCGATGAAGCCAGGCTGCACAGTGTGGCTTCTAAGGCCCAGACTGGTTTGGCTCATGCCTCCTGCCGGCTCTTGCTCCACCTCACCTGCCTGCCCTGTCAGCACCTGAGCTTCCTCTTGACCGCTAAGACCTTATCCCCTGCAGTGTGACCCCTGCTCAGGGGCTCTGGCCTGACTGGCGAATGGGAGAAGCGCAGCATCTAACTGGGGACCAGAATCTGCATTTTACCAGGACCGTGGGGCGGGGCGAGCACCACACACACGTTACAGTCTAGGAAGCAACTGCACGTGTCTGTCTGCACTGCCCTTCCGGCTGCTCCTACTGCTCTCATCCTTCAGGTCTGCCGCCTCCTGGAAGCCCTCCCTGACCTCCTAGGCTGGGCCTGGCTCCTTCTCTGAGGGTCCACAGTCTCTGGTGCTTCCCCACCCCAGCCCTGACCCCTGTGGGCGCTGCTGGCCAGCCCCTGGCCGTCCGGAGCTCTGCTGCCACAGTATTGCTGGGAACAGGGGAGGGGCCTGACGTGTGAGGTAATGATGACCCAGTGCCAAGGGCCCATCTCACCAAGTGGCGATGATGTTCTCTGTGGCCTCTGAGGGGAGCTGACCCCACTGGGTGGGTGGGCCAGTGGGAGGCAGGGGCGGGAGGCGCGGGCAGGCCACGTTGGTGAGGAAGCACTTCCCCAGGTCAGAGCTGCCAGGGAGAACATGCATGCGAGCCTGGACACGGAGCCCTGAACAGGGTGGGACATGGGAGGTGACAGGATGGCCACCGTGCGCCTGTCTCTCAGGCGGGGCGAGCAGCAGGAGCTGTGGACCAAGACGAGGCGTTTGAATCCCAGTTCTGCTGTGACCCTGGCAAATTACTTCTTTAGCTCCAGATCTGTAAAATGGGGCTAAAACAGCCCGTACTTTACGTGGCTGAGATCAGCACTTACAGCACTTAAAACAGTGCCTGACAGGCCCTCCCTGGTGGCGCAGCGGGTTAAAGCACTGAGAATCTAAAGCTGCTTCCGCGTGAGTTCGACTCCCGCCTGCCCCAGAGGTGACCACATGGCGAGGCAGACCTCTCCTGACCCGCCCGCTGCTCCCCTCAGCAGTGTACTTCGTCAATCTGCCTGTTCTGCTCCCCACTCTGTCTCTGGTGAGGCCTCTCGCCGCCCCTGAGCCTCTGGCCTGTACCCCAGTTCTGTATGCACAAATAAATAAATCTTTAAAAAAAAAAAAAAAACAGTGCCTGACAGAGGGTGGCAGGTCGGTCCTCAGGGGACACTGGCAGGTGCAGCGGCACCTTCCTTCCGCTGTCTGACTTCAAGTGCCGCTTCGGTAAGGGAGCAGTTACTGTAGAAGCGCTCGCTGT